TTTTCCTTTCCTGTCTGCCATTATTTGTTAGGCACTCCTGCGCTCCTCTTTTGCCCATTTGCAAAAATGGAGAATAAATTGAATGACGTTTTTATTGATCTCGATTTTCGTTTCTCCTCCCAGTTTGACGCTTAGATGTCGCTTGGCAGGCAGCAGCAGCGCCGACTCTCAAGTTGCGGTTTTCAATGAGCTTTAAGATGGAAAAATTCCTTGATTTAACGGACAGACAGACTTTGTTTCGCGCTCAATGCAAATGGCATATTAAAGTCGCAAGAAATTTGCACAATCATTCTAATGTATGGCCCAATGCCCATGGCCATGTTTCTATTGTCATTTCATTATCTTACATTTCGCATTCTCCTCCATCTCCATCACTTGTTAATCCAATTTCAATCAACAACATTAGATTACTCGGGGATATGTCTCTGCCAGCCGCCTCCCACTTCTGAATGGGAGAATAATCCCCGACAGTCAATCAAAGGGAGTTGCAAAATGATTGCCTAACGAGTAAACATATCCTCCAGCTCCTGCAGCACTCTGGTCCTTCTGTCAGCTGATTGACACTCATATGAATATATAATCCTTCATTCCGATCCATTGGCAGAATGAAATTTTAAGTCCAACGGGCGAAAATCTTTTGACGTATTTCCATATGCACTTTTTCTTCGCCCCCGCCACCGGCTCTCTCTCTCTCTCTTTGTCAGTTGACTGCATTAACGGATATTTCCGTGCTTTGGCTGACAAACGGAGAGGCGAAAACTTGTCACAAACTTTCGCCCCAGCCCCAGAGCCCCAGCCCCAGCCCCAGCTCCTTCCACTCGCATTTATATTCATTCTGGATGTGGCACTCCTTTTGTTTTGTGGCACCCGAAAGGAGCATTTGTTTGTTGGTCAGGAAGTTTTGGAAAGAGGCTTCTGGGTGGGGCAAAGTCTGGCGCCCGTGTGCAATTTGTCAGGCTCGTGACTGCTTCTCCAGAGAGAGACAGAGAGAGAGAACGAATCCAACAGTGCCTGCACATTCTCTCTGTCTCTCTGCTCCATCTGGGCCCGCTTCATTTGTTGGCTTAAGTAACTTAACAACTTTACGCTTGCAACTCGCGTACGCGATGCGACTCCTTCACTGCGACGTAGTCGTCGTCCTCGTCCTCTGGCTCTGGCTCTGGCTCTGGCTCTTGTTTATATTGATAATGTGCCATTTATTTTATTTAAGGCATGCGCCCCACTCGATCTGCAGTCACGTCTTGGCCAGGCCATGAATGGGCGGGCGCCACACTTACATACAGTCAGGACGCTAGAGGCACCGAATGAATTGTGTAGGTTTCAGCAACTGCGAAATGGCTGCACACACACAAGCACACACACATGTGTGCGCAAGGACATGCCACAACTTGCTGTTGCATAATGCATTAAGTGCTGCGGAGTCGGTGGAGTCGAGTCGTCGCTCCGCTGAGTTATTGACTTGAAGTTTGTTGCGGAATTTCCAAGTGCAACGCGTGTAAGGCATAACAAATTAGGCGACGCCAGCAGGCTGCTGCAGGCAGAAAGGACACCAGTGCCAGGTGCTCAAGCTCAAGCTCAAGCTCAAGAAAACTATGCAAAAGATACACAAAAAGTATCTGTTCCAGCGATCTTTTGTCTGAGCTAGAGCTGAGATCTGATTTCTCCCGCCCAATTACGAATATTTTTCATTGCAATTTCCATTGATTCCGATGACAGTCGTAAAGTGTTCTCTTTTGTCGTTTCCTTCGTGGCACTATTGATGGAGCACTCCCCCGCCGCTCTCCTTTGTGTTCTCCTACGCCCCTCCATGAATTTGTATTTGGAAATTCTTATTTAAATTGGACTTTGGCTCTTTCTCTTTCCGGCTTTCGGTATGCTCTTCTCATTCACTTCTTCTGTTATTATTTTGTATTAACATTATCGCACAACAAATAGAATTCAAAATAATTGGATGACATTGAATACTACGAATTGAGTGAGCAAAGTAGCAGCAAGAAGAGTCGAGTCCATTGCTATTTTCTCTTTAAAATGTAATTATACCAAAGGCAAGCCGGATATTCAAGCGTCCACTACATAAATTGCCATAAACAAATGCCAAATCCATGGAGAGACAGAGAAATGTTGTCAAAAGTGGCACTCTGCCTGCCCCTGCCCCTGCCCCTGTCCCTGCCCCACTGGTGTGCCCGGCGGAAGAGTTGCCATTTTCATTTTCTTTTGCGAGGCGCCATTTTCATTCTTTTGCTCGTTTATTTTTTCTTATTCTTTTGTATTTTTTCTCATAATTTGCATGGCATGGGAACTTGACTTTTGTTGCCCACAGAAAGAGAAAGGAAAGCGGAACAACGGCTGACAAGGGATAGAGGAGTGGGAACTGCGGTGGCAACGTGGAAAATATGTTGCAGCGACATTGCCGGCAAAATATAATAGAAAAATAAGGTGCCACACAATATGGCCGAGAGCTTTACAGTTGGTTAAGTAGCAAAAGCGCGCAGCGGCGAAAGGACGCGCAGGAAAAGCGCCGGATAAAGTGGCAGCGCCACCCAGACCAGACCAGGCCAGCCAAGCAGCAATCCAGAAGAAAGAGGGACAAGTAGGAGAATGGCCTGTGGCTGCCAGGCAGGGCAAGGCCCCGGTGCACAGCGCCAGAGCATGGCGTGAAAATTGTGTTGACAAGAAAATTATAAACCGGAAAATGTTTTATGTTGTGGCTATGCGATTTTTCTCAGCCCCCCCTCCCTCGTCCTCCCTCGTCCTCACTTTTACTCTTTTTCGCTCCTTTTTCTTCCCTTTGCGGCTGCCCCGGTGCCGTTTAAAGTCCCTGGACGGCGGCTCATTGTGACAGAATTAAATTGAGGGGAAATTGCCAATGAAATGATGCCAATTTCAACGAAAGGGTCAAAGGTCGTCCGGCAAAAGGCAACGCTTGGATGAGCTAAAAGCAATTCGCGCTCTACGATACGCTTGAAAGCTAAACCCAGGAATGAAGTCTGATAAACTGATAAATAAATATTACTATACCTTTACGGATAACCAAATTCCAACTTCCCTTGACACATAGTTCTGTTGAAACTTTTCTAAGCTCAATATAATGTTCACATATGCCTCGCATAACACACTTACATACATTCGCCATTGACCCAATTTTGCACTCGAAATTCTACTTTAACTTGAGCTGCTGCTTGGTGGAAATGCGAGTTGGAAAGTCTACAATGCGGCAGGCAGCGTGCCTATAAATTAGTGTCGTGGCCATACAGTACAGTGCAAAAAAAACCAGAGTTGTCAGAAGGGGTGGGGGGGGGTACACATGTACACAATCACAGGAGCCGCACATAGGCCTTTCCTCGTCCTCGAACTGGTTGTGGCAGTCGCTATTATGTGTACATACTCACGTAGTCCTCGTCGAGGTACTTTTATTATATGTAACGAATGTTTGTGTGTGTGTGTGTGTATGCTGGTTACTTGCCTCTGGTTACGTTTAAGTTCGTTATGCATTTAAACCCTCAGCACACACTCACTTGCACTGGCACGCAGGGGACGACAGCAAAAAAAAACGAGGTGAAAATGAGTGCAAACACTCTCTCTCTCTCTCTCTCTCTCTCTCTCTCTCTCAACAATTACAACACTCAAAGGCGCGCAGAGAGGAAAAGAGGGAGAGTGAAAAGGAAAAAGAAGCTTGGGAAATTGCTGGGAAACTTTACTGCATAGTTAATTAATAGGATAACACAATTAATTTGTGGGCAATGAATGTCTGAGCTTTATTTGCCCAGCGTGCACAGTGGGGCCAGCAAAAACTACAAGTGGCCCAAAGGGTCACCATTGCCCCCCATTCTCTCTGTGTGTGTGTGTGTGTGTGTGCAGCTGTTACGCCACAGAAGTGAATTAATGTGAACGCCACAGGCAGAAGTACGCCAGATGGTAACTACATACGAGTAGATATATGGAAAAGCTGACCCTAGATATGATTTTGGGTTTACCTTAAGGTATGATGATTGATGGATAAAGACTTGAGGATTTGAGGCAGCTTTCGGTCGTATGAAAGTCCAAGTAGGTTCTGGAACATCGCTAATACATTAAATCTTGCGGCTGGGGGCTGCCATGGCAAACAAGGCAAAGATGAAGCCGAAGGAAGCAATAGCCAGCCTGCATGCCCAGGCAGTGGCTCAATTAACGATGTGCCCGTGCCCGTGCCCTGCTTCGCTGAGTGGGTGGACAGGCGTGAGAAGAAGGACCAGCGCCACACTCCATCCACTCAAAGGCAACGAGCTACTTACCAAACAGCAGTTTTAACTATTGTTTGCACACTCGACTCAGCAGAGTTGTGGAGGGGAGCGGGAAGAGCGGACTGCCAGTGGCATGGTCTTGGACGGTTGGGGACGGGCTGCACGAACTATGCCCCAACTTTAAGGCTTGAAACGCTTTTCAGCTTTTTGTTGAAACAACAAAAGGAGCTCCTCTGCCAGCCTGCCTGACTGTCGTTGACCAAACAAGCGGCTGGCGAAACGCCTAAAAGGCGGAGGCACAAAATTTTCAAAACGTAATTTTTTATGCTGTCACAAAATTTGAGGACCCCAACAGAATGGAGAATGGCGAATGATAATGATGATGTTGATGATTATGATGGCGTCCGCGTCGGCGTCGGCATTTTGTCAGCATTATGTAGTGTATACATAAAATACTTCACTTTATGTGGCCATTTTTTCTGGCTGTTTCCGTTCTGTTCCTTTGGTTCATTCGTTTTTGTTTGCCGAGGGATAAAACAAAAAGCTTAATAAAGAAAACAACTACATTGGGTTTTTTTCTTTTCACTGTTTCTATGTTGGACATTGTTCCGTGTAAAAGGAGCTCATTTCAACCTTTTTGTTGGCGTCATTTTGACAAGAGGATTGAATATCTAAAAGGTACGCTTTGATATTATGGACTCTTGTTTGGGTGTCAAATTTTGGGCAAGGGACTTAGATATTAAGGTTCTTAAATAAACGTTAAAATCAAATGAGCTTTACCTGCAGATTGTCCATGTCTAAGTGTGGCGTGGCCTAAAAATCACTCGAATTATTCAGTTGAAATTCACACTGGGGTTATGGTTATTATCGATTTTTGTTGGGGGCACGGTTGGAACAACACTCTCTTAATTGTTCTAATATCTTAGGGCTGGGCTATATAAAGCTAAAGCTCTCTACTCGGGACTCAAGCACACAAGACACACGAAACGAAAGCCCCAAAAGCTTGGATCGATCGCTAGCTCGCTCGCTCGCTCGATCGCTAGGCTGCAAAAGCTGCACCTTGCAGGCGGATCTGGCGGATCTGGCGCATCAGCAGTCGCCGCATCACAGGCATTAAGAGAGACAGACAGCAGCCAGACTAAAGCTCCAACTAGCTACATATAGTGTGTGTGTTTAAATAGGATATTTATATATATATTTATGTATATGGAAGCACAGAGATACCATAAAAACAAAATGGAGTAAAAGCACAAAAGCACAAACAACAAAAGCGAGACAAGATCAGTTTGGATTGTTCAGTTTTTCAGGCCCTAAACGAATTCTGGTTGGTTTTTTTTTTGTTTGCTTAGGGGTATTTCGAGGCATATTGTTTTGAGATGAGAAATCATAAATCATAAAGCTTACAATCTACAATCACAAGAAGCAAAAGTCAGTTTGGGGGGGAAAGGTCGCTGGGTGGGAGATGTGGGTCTCTTTTGGGGGGTTTGAGAGGTGTTTTGGTTGTGGTGTGGGTTGGGTTGGGGCATATACTGACCTTGATGCTGTCGTAGCAGGCGGTGACCTTGCCGTTCTGTACCTCCACATTGGCCGGTGGATGGGCAAACTTGCATTCGGTGTCCTGGCGCGAGCACTTGTTGCGCTGAAACTCCCGGCAGACCTCCAGCTGCAGCCAGCGCGAGTCCTTGCCGTTGAGAAGGCTGTTCATATTGACAACGTTGGCCATTTGATCGTTGTATTCGACAGATACAAATATATAGTATATATACGAGTATAGATAGAGATGTGTCTGTGTGTGTGTGTGAGTATGTATATATGCTGTATACGGATCTAGGATAGCTTTTCAAATAGACTTTTAGCTTAGCGCTGGCGACTAGAACGCGTTTTTAGTTTCTTGCTTTGCTTTGCTTGGCTTTGCTTTTAGTTTTTGGAGTTTGTAGATCGAGTTTACACACACACGCGCAATAAACAAACAGCACTAATACTTGGATCAGCACTCAGTATATATATATAAGGTATATATAGCATATATAGGCTTGTTGTTGTTTTTTCTTAGCGTTTTACACGTTTCTGCTGCGGAGCACACAAAGCTTTTTGGGGAGGATATAGCTGATAGCTGATTTCTGAGGGGGTTCTTGGGGGGGAAACTCGAACTCTTATGTCACTATATAGTAGATGTGAGTGTGTCTGTGTGTCTGTGTGTGTGTGTGTGTGTGTTTGGTGTATAGATAGACGCAGCTGTTAATATTCTTTTTTGTTTTTGTTTTTTGTTCAAGCTGATTTTACATTATCTGAAATGAGAATAAAAGAGAGAAAACATATCTTTAGGATTGTGCCATTTGCATTGGGGGATCGTCCAAGACTGACAGACAAATAGATAGAGAGAGAGAGAGAGAGAGAGACAGATAGATAGAGAGAGAGAGAGAGCGATTCTAAGACTAAATGGAGGATGGATTTTAAACTGATTCATCTCTGTTTTCTTTGGGTTAGTAATGCGCAAAGTTGGGTGGGTGGGTGGTTTGGTATTATGTTGTTATGCAGAATGCAATGCTTAAATTAAATGATATTCGAAACTAAAAACAATTCACTATAATGATTATTATCCACAATACACATACAATTATAAAAACCGAACTCGCACATCGAGAGATCGTATGAGGCGTTGCGTGAGATTTTTTTTCTGTGTGTGTGATTTTGGTGCAAAATAAAAAGTTCTTTTCCATACAAAACTTATGATATAATCACTAAAAATAGTTCCAGATATATATATACACCAAATGCATACATATATCTGATTAATAGAGAGTGATAGATAGAGCGAGAGAGAGAGAGAGCAGCATCCAGTTGGCAGCAGTTTCTGGCGCGTTGGCGGCGCAGGGCAGCGCGCAATGCACATTGACCAACAAAAATAACTACAAAAAATAAACAACTAAAGTGCACTAATTGTTCCTGCAGATAGTTTATATGTATATGTATGTATATATCCATGGCCAGCGGGTGCTTTAGCTTAAGCAACATTTAAGAGAGGGAACCTTAAGAGAGAGAGCTTAATTATTGCGCTCCGATTTCAATCAGTTTTTGTTGTTCTTTCCGTTTCTTATAGCAGAGAAATAAATTGTTCAACGCACTTACCGATCGTATGGGATAGAAAATGTATTTATTATTAATTAAAAAATACTGTAAAAAAAATACATTGTTTATACGTAAATATTTCGAAAGAGAGAAAGATAGAGAGACAGAGAGAGAGATTGATGTGTGTAAATTGGTTTAAGATAAGGCTTAGGGTGGAGGGGGCTGTGTGTGTACTTTGGGTGTGTGTTGGAATTAGCCAACGAGTTTGCAAAAATGTTGCAAAATGATTTAATCATCGATGACGGCAGGCACACAAATTGATATTTGTTTTGTTTGGTCTTTATTTCTCCCTTTGCTTTAGGTTTTTATCTTTACTTTTGGCTTGTATTCTCGCAGCTTGTCTGTCTGTCTGTGTGTCTGTGTGTCTGCTGTTTGTGTTTAAATCTTATCTTATCTCTTGCGGCAAGCGGCAAATGAATCAAAGTCTTCGAAAAGGGAAATCTATTGCCAGTTTTCACTTGGTGGACTAGAAAGGGTAGACTTTGATATTGTTGCGGAAAAAGATTTCAGGTTATTTTAAATGTTTTTTTTTTGCCAAGAGAGCCAACTAATAAATGTAATGCAATATTGCTAATAGACTTCGTTGTAAATAATATTGAAAACTTCTCAAACTTTATGCAATAATAAAAAGTGGCAAACCTCTTTAATTTTTGCCTTGTGCCATTTCTGCTATCTATTTCCATGCTATTGTATCCTCCCCCCCAAAGCCTTTCCAGGCGAATCAATTTCATTTGACAGCTACCAAAAAGCCTTCTTCATATCTTTGGCAAAGATATTGCCGCCGCAACCACATTCTGCCTGCCAGCCGCACTGCCCGTAAATTATCTCTCTGACGACGCTGTATGAAAAGACAATTAATAAACCTTATGCACACATGTATGTGGTTTATTTGTGTAGGCATGTACGTAGCTTAGGCATTAGAATAGACTTTATTTAGTTGGTTTATTTGTGTATTGATAATTTGTGGATACGCTCGGGCTCGGGCATGATGTCAGCTGCAAATTGCTTTTCCGTATTTCAACTTGATTTCCAAACATATAAATTCTAACTTAATTTACGAGCTGAGAAATGCTAGCTAGACTCATCATACGTTATACGTGTGTGTGTGTGGGCTGGGATGTAGTATTCAAATAATTTTGAAAACTTTTTCGGCTAAAAACCAACGGAAGGAGAGAGAGAAAAAAAAACGAAGAACACGCAACCCACCCGAACAGACGTTGTTGCGCCCACGCAAGCGGACGTGGATGGGCATCAGAAAAATCTACAATATCGAATATAGACGCAGATACGGCTACAGAAACATGTATAGAAATTAGCATCCGTGTCATTGACGCAGTAGGGAGGAAAAATTGATGGGCAGCAGCGAGTGTGGAAAGCGCTCTACGAAAATAAACTTTCGTTGTGGGCCAGAAAGCCAAATCGAAGGTTCTCCGGCGGCTGAATGAAAATCTGTTTATATGTGAATATATCGATGCATCCGCTGACCTACAATCCACCTTGAGCACTTCTCTGATATAAGGACACTTTGCTGTTGGTCAATCTGCAGCGGGTTTAGTTTCGGTTATTAAAAGATCATTAAGAGACAAAAGATGCTGATGCAAAATGCTCTCAGACCCCCAGACCCCCAGGCCTCCACCAAAAAGACGAATAACAAGTTCAACAAGTTTTTTGACTGGTTTTTTCGGACTCGAAATGTGTATGGTTTTTTTGAAGGTTAGACTCGCCGAAATACACACAGAAACCAGAAAGGGAAAGAGAGAGAGAGGGAGGGAGAGAGAGAGAGAGTGAGTGGAGTGGAGCGGCGAGTGGAGAGTGACTTTATTGTAGATTGAAAACTGTTAATTTCTGTAGCTCTTAACGCAATCCCACTAAATATTTGTTCACATTAGCCTGCCATACGAAAACTCGAGTGTTTATGCAAGCTGAATCAATACAGAAGGGGTCGAACTGTGGTGGGGAGGGAGGTGGAGCACGGCACTGAGTTCACCGGCAGCAGCGACACTAATCTGCATGTGGAACTGGAACTGTAGCTCTGTGCATCTGGCAGTACTTTTATTTATGATTTTTCGATAAGAAAGTGGGGTTCGCCCCGGAACTGGATAATATATTGATGGAAAATATAGGATTAGGCGGGGATATCCATCAATGTAAATCCCTTTACCAATTTCCATTTACAATAACTTATCCAACGTTCCCGTTTCGCCACAAGCCCCACATTCTCCGCCACATTACGTGGAATTCCAATTCGAGAGCGGCGGTCTACGCTGATAACAACAGAGAGAGAGAGAGAGAGGGAGAGAGCGTGCCCGTATTTTCCACTCTCTCTCTCTTTATTTAGATACGCGACTCATAACAGAATTTGTGCATCAACTTTTGCCGCCTTTCTGGCACACACAAGCGCACAGAGTTAACCCATGCGGGCCCCAAGTTATGGCTACAAAGCTCCACATAAGCTGCTCTGAATACCTTTTGTGGGGGGAGGGAGGCGACAAGTTAATGCATTTAAAGAAACATTTACGCAAGCCGAAGCCATAGCAAACGAAACAGCAAAACATCGGTCAGTAACCGCTCTCAAACTTTGCAATGTTATACAACGTCAACATGCAGCCAACAGCAGCCCAGCCAAACGACTCCTCGCCCCCCAAACACTACACTCCCTGACAGAGTCAGAGACCCACCCTAGGGGTATGACACACATATTATTTAACGATGCGTCCCATAAAAACAAAAAAAAAAGTGAAAGAAAGTGGTAACAGCCAGCTGGGGTCGAAGCTTAAGTTACCTTTCATTTTCACACTCTCTCTCTCTCTCTCTCTGCTTGGCAAAAAGGGTATACAAAAACCGATTGAGTGCTGTAGGAGTTCGTCGTATGGGGCGGTGGGAGCACACACTGAGTTCGACGGCTGCTATCAATAAAGCCGATTAGATAAAAGAACTACACTAAAACCCTTCCAGCTGCCGCACCGAAAAGCGATTGCAATTGCACGAGCCACGAACCACGAACCACAAACCACAAACCATATGCTGCCACACACACACACACACACACACACCGCACACAGGGAGCGGGAGCAGCAGAACGGGGCACCGACTCCCCACTCTTCCAGCCATAAAAGAACCATAACAAATCCGAAACAGCAAAAGACTCAAAACTGAGATGTGTGTGTGTGTGTGTGTGTGTGTGTGTGTGTGTGTGTGTGTGTGTGGCTTCTGCCATAAATGGCAAAATGCTAAAGATGCCAAAGATGATGATGCTTATGTCATACAGGTGGGTGCTCCAAAGATAGAGTTTGACTTGGCTAATTAATTCTCATTGTCATCCATTTGATGGGAGATAATTCATCTAGAGTTTGCTTTGCTCTCGTGGTGTGTGTGTGTGTGGGCTATTCAATGAGCGTTGACAGATTTCCTTTGACATCTATTAGCTCTCTTTCGAAAGTGGCCCACAAGATGAAAGTGGATTCTGTCCCTTATTTGGGTTGCCTGCGTAATTCAGTTGATCCCCAAATATGGTACTATATGGCGTGACTAATGCCCGAATGCAACGCACCTGAAGCGTGCCGAAAATGTGTACTAAAATGGATTCGTTGGGGGATCTCGTAACTGCTCTGGAGATTCCAAAGAGACTTTATCGACACCGAACAGAAATTCATCATATTGTCTTTTGGGAATACTTTATCCCACAAAGATTGCAGCTTTCCCTCTGCACACAAGCCCATGTATATTTAATGATCATACATTTTCCCTTTTCGAATTCAACTGATCTTCAAATTTCAAATTCATTCAAAAACCTTGCCCCAGTCTTCAGTCTCAAGCGCAATCTGTGACTTCCTTCCCTTTTGTCACGTTTCTCTGGCGGCAATACAATATTTAAATTTTTCATTCGCATCAACAAATCAATTTCTTTAGACTTTAAACGCGATCATCATTCCGTAAATTACGTCAGAGTTCGGCAAATCTATCACGAACGAAAAAAGGGAGGAAGCACAAAACACACACACACGAAAATACCCAAAAATATCAAAAATAATATATATAAACAAAAAACAAATTCATAAATGCCGAAAGAGAGGGAAAGAGGGAGAGAGAGAGAGAGAGAGAGAGATCTTAGGAGAAGCAAAACCACTCTTCCGCTCTCTATCTTTCACACTCTTACTTGCTCGATCTAACACCATGCCTCTCCCCGCCCTCTCCACATGTCTTTGTTTAACAATCTTCGACTGACTCTCTCATATACTATTTTTTGTTGTTGTTTTTTTTGCATATTTCATAAACTTTTGCTTATCTTAAAATACGAATACAACTACATACGAGCAGCGAACGATTCAAAATATACAAATGCTCTCCTACAAAATACAAAATAATATGCGCTTGAAGGAGAAAAATAAGTGAAAGATAGAAAACAGATGAGGGAAAACTATAATTTTTCGTAAAATTTTGCTGGTAGCAAAACGTTTTATATATACATTTTCGTCGAATCTCAAAATAGACATTAAAAGAGCCTAAAAGAGGGGAAACAATTACCGAATAATTATGTACAAATATAAACGAAATGTTTCCGAATTTCATAATTAAATTCATCTTTGAACTAATTTGTATAATCACATGTTTCGCTCTCTCTTTCTCGCTCTTTTGTGCGCTGTCTTTATGTATTTTTCTCTGCTCGTTCCCAAAAGGTTAAACAATCAATTTCGCTTTCAATTGATCTCAATTCACACAGAGAGAGAAATAGAGGGAGAGAAACGTGGAGCCTGGACCGGGGTCAGGCAAGGGTTAAAGATGCCCCCAGCATTATGCAAAAGACTAAACAATGTTGTGGTTGTTGTTGCTGCTGTTTTCTGTCTCTGCCACACATTTCGTTGCACGAAAAAAGTTATTTTTGGCAGCAGCAGCAGCAGCAGCAGCAGCGCCAGCGCTTCCAAAATGTGGCCAAGTGCTGACAGTGTGATGAGGTGGGGTCTTAGGAAGAGGTGCCGCTGCACAGCTGCAGATAGTTACACACAAACAGATATACATGTGCACATCCGAAAGCGTACAGCAGCTGTCGCTGGTTCTGGGGAGATGCTCGTGCTAAAGGAACAGGCCAGCAGACAGCCCCAAAAACAGAACCGACACGTTCGAGAAATTCTTTTTTGGCATGATTATGCTTAGGGTGTGTCAACCAACAGGCCATGAATGATGGACAAAACGCTGCATTTGTGCTGCAAAGACTGCCAGGCAGGCACACCTTCACAGGGAGAGCCTTCGAGAGTAGGAATCAAAGTGGATATCCCGCCCCCATTACCACATCTACGAGTATCTGTATATCGTTATATTTTGTTGGTTTGCATTTCTCCAGCTCCACTGAATCACCCTATTCATCCATAAAGGCACAAAGGGAGATTTTGTTATGTATTTTCTTTGCTCTTTCTTTTCCGACTTGTTTGCCGCCGCAGCTGCCGCTTTGCTTATTGAAAACCAAAAAAAGTAAAAACAAAAACCAAAAACAAAAACAAAATACAACATACAAAAACCAAAAACGAAGAAAACTTTTTGGTATTTTTAGACAAAGAAGCAGAGAGAATAAGAGAAGAAAATCCACGCGCACATGTTTCAAAATATCAAAAAAGATGAGAACTAGAAGAAGCTGAGAGGAGGAAAAACTAAAGCCAGAGGGAAAAACGATTTTGTAAAGGAAACGAAATGCTTACAAAAATATATATATGTGTGTGTGTTGCTTTCATTTCAGTGTGCCAAAAGTGAGCGTAGAAACAAACCAGAAGCCTCTTCCTGGAAATGGTTTCTAAAATATCTCGATATAGCAATGAATGCAGAGAAATGATTTCCCTTTCCCAAACTACACAAAGTAGAGTAGTTCAATCGTTTCTATGTTTTCCTTCAGATTCATTTGTATTTTTATTTCCACCCACGTTAGAGTACGACTATCTTATGTAGTACTTTAAATGCCAAAGCTAAGCCATTCACTCTCGTTGTGTTTGCGCTTGCTCTTTGCAGACCTTTTGGCTGAACTCTGACACCTTTTGAGACTGTCATCTCGCGTCAAATCGCGAATATTCAAGCCGAACCGAACAATCACAGTGCCAACCATTTTTCCTCAGACTTTCAAACGTTTTGCGCTCAAAGACAATCGAAGGGGTGGGGTGTTCGGGGGGTATGGTGTTTCGATATTTACGACCTATTGAGGTATGTACATTGAAGAGAGCTTAGAGCAGAGCACAAAACTGCACACATATTTCTCAGTGTTGCCGCCGCTTTGTGTTTCTTTTGGGGTTTCTGCATGACTTTTGGCAAAAAATCGAATCGATTAGTCATGGCAAGTCCTCAAGTCCCATTGCCTTTCGTGGCATTTTCAGTTGGAGGTTTGAGTGGTTTTTGTTTGAAAAAGTGAACAAAAAAGTACAAATAAAAATAAAAGTGAATGACTTGTCAGACAGAGAGTCGAGTTTATGGAACAAAATGGACAGAAATCACAATTCATTTGGCATTTTCCAATGCGATTTCTTTGACTCATATTTTATGTTGAAAGCCAACTTTTGACACTTTTGCCAATGCCGATGATGATGATGCTGATGGGTCTGTAAAAGCAATTTGTGTCGAACTTTTGCTGGCAATTTTTCTCTACATTTGTGTGTTATTTTTTTGTTTATGCCCCAAAAGCAAAGCTAATTCAATTTGCATATCTCGAGGCTAAAGGAAAACGAAACGAATCGCGAAAATTATAATAACAATCTGTTCGGCTCGCAAAACTGAAGCTGAAACAGAAACAGAAATCATATGGGGGGCACAGCCAGAAATACACATAAATTTAATGGCAGACTCGTAAAACCGTTCAGGTTGAGGGTGGAGGGTGGTGGGTGGAGGGTGGTGGCGCGACGTCCAGACACCACAGAACGAACCACATAAAAAACGTGACTTTTCATACAAAATCAGCGATACAACAAAAATCTATGCAATTGTATGTCTGACGACGCCTACAGTGCGTTTCCCTGCCAAGAGATGTTCATGTTTTTCTGATTCAACAACATATTAAGCGAATAGAGTCGCTTATTGGATGGCCAAAGTTATTGCAAATAAACGGAGATTTAATTATGTGATTGCATGCCTGATTCGATCCATTACGAACAGGATTCGCATCAAGAAATCAAATGGCAAGTCAGTTCATCTATGCCCTGACATGATTGTAACGCACTGTACTGTTTTCGCACACACTTAGAGCTCATATATTTTGTGGCCTAGACCTTGCATTAGAATTTAAAACAAAAAAGGCTTAATTTGCATTAAAATTAATCACGTTTTGTGCAAGTTTTAATCCTTGATTGATAAACAGTTGTTTGGTCAATAGTTTTACACCATTTTACAGCTTGTTTTCCGTTTTCATTGGACATTATTTTGGATTGTTGGATGTTGATTTGCAATTATTATTTCGCAGTTCATTAGCACCGAAACTTTAATTGATTTTTGGTTCATTAGCTTTTTGTGCATAAAACATAAAAACATTAAATGAGCAACAATTTTATATGGCAAATTGTTAAACTGAAATCCTATTAACGAGTTTTCGAATTGCACTCACAAAATGTATTTAATTGGATTTTTACGTTTATTTTTAAGTAAATTTTAATGCCTTTTAAGACACTTAATGCCTCTTCTACAGGGAATGCACATTTGGCCAGTGTCGAAATAAATGTCTTGAAATAACATGTTTTTGTCTAAAACGTAACTGTGTTAGTGTACCACAAAATAATTGCGGATTTGGGTGATTTATTTGATTTTCTTAGAATTATAAATTTACACATTTCTATTGATCTTTCCATTAATTAAATGTTGTATTCCATTTTCAGTTTCTGATGCAAATTTACAATCTAATTCAATAAATTGGTGAGTCCCCGCAACTCTAAGTAATATTTGTATATTTTCTGCTGCACATTTTTCATATTCCCCAAGTTTTGCTCTCCAAATAATTATTATAAATTTCATTAAATTATCGAAAATTTAGCTAACTTGGCACTATATTTTTTTGGTTGAGTTTTGACTGACAAGTTCCTCAAATTTACTTTCTCTGAGCGTTTTCTTCGCATTATAAAACAGAACTTCCGTGTTTTCACCAAAAAGTATAAAAAAAGGCGATAAAAACCCACAAACACCAAGAAACACAAACAATTCACAAAAGGAGGAAGAAAGACTCGAGAGAGAAAACTAAACAAAACAAAACAAAACAAAACATACAACGGAGAAGAAACAAGACAAGACAGAGAAGAGAAGATCTTTAGTATATAAACACCTTTCGGTAGTTCCAGCTGATGATGCGACGAATAGTCGTTGTCGTTGTTGTTGTTGTTGTTTCTGTTGCTGTTGTTGGAGCTTCGTTTTTTTTTGTTGTTGAAGCTGCTGTGCTGTGCTCTGTTGTGCTGCTGTATTTGAATTATTGCTGTTGGTATACACTCTGGGCTGTTTGTTGTTTCTTTTTCTTTTTCTGGTTTTCGTTTTCCTTCTTTTTTCGTTATGGTAAATTGTATTTTTAACTTATTTTTTGGTTGTACGAAACACGCGCGGCGTTTGTTAGCGACAGAGATGGAAGATGTGGTGGCTGAAGTTGTGGCTTTCAGTGTTGCAAGCAGCTGCTGGACATGACGTCATTAAAATGCCGGTACAACAATGGGCCTGCTGTGGGCCAGACTTTCAGTTGTGTGTGGGACTTTCCTTTCTCCTCCTTCCTCTGCACTTCTACACTTCCTGTCCTCTCGTTGCTGTCACACAAACACACACTCGCACAGGATCTGACAGTTGGCACACACACGCACGCACAACACACCGACGACACGTAGACGGAGACGGAGACGGAGAGACGGCGACACACCAACACACGCAACAATCACACACGCGGCGTCTCGTTGTATTTGCTATTAGATTCGTTTCAAAAAACAAATATTCCAGCACTCAATTTGCACTTGAATCGGGAATTTCAATTCTACTTCTTTTCCTCCTCTTTTTGTTTTCTTCCGCTTTGTTTTTTTTGTTGGTAAACGCGCGCGCTTTCTTGATTGATGTTGCACAATTGCCGGATTTTGCAGCTTTCGACAATTGTTATAATTCTTTTTCTTTTAATATTCTTTTTATGCGCTTTTTGCCTTTTGGTTTGTTGTTGACTGTTTTATTGCGGCGTTTGCACAATTTGTTCGATTTCTGCTGTGCGGTAGGCTATATGCGCGCTGCTGGCTGTCTGATTTTAGTGGCTTAGTATCTTGTATCTTGAACTCTGGCTGCGGCACACTGCACTCTTCGACGCTTCGGAACAGAGTAAACTGTAAATTCCTCCCAACCAACGGCCTCAGCGACAGGCGACGGCAGCGACCACGACACAGACACCCAGCGGCAGGAAAACAACGAAGAGAAAGATAGGCAGAGAGAGAGAGAGAGAGAGAGCGGACTCTCTCTGGCTCTCTGAAAAATACCTGACTCATTCTGGCAATTTCCCCTCTCTGCCGCTGTGGGGTCTCTTATTGGATTATTACCACTGCCGCTGGAGTTGGGGCTTCGTGCGCGGCCAGCCCCTCGTGTTGTTTCGACGCCGAAGAGAGAAAGTGAACCACGAAGAGCAATAGCTTTGGACTCGATTGTGGATTTAAGAGCGCACGGTGGTGCTTTTCTGTGTTTGTATGTTAAGAGAACACTCACTTGGCTTTGGAGTGATTTCCTCGGGTGTTCGTTCTGTTGTTGGCCCGGGGAGGGGACAGCGTGCTGCTGCTGCCGCTGCTGCTGCTACCGCTGCCGCCGGCTGTGACGCGTACCAAAAGGTTAACTGGCTACGTAGACGGACGGCTTTTGGCGTAGGTTGCGGAACGTGGCCAAAACTGAGACTTGCTTTAGTGCAAATTTTAGTCAAATTAATTTTATTTGCAATTTTATGCGGGGAACTGCCCAGAACAATGAAAATAAATGACAAACAAATGACAATAGCAGTCTCCAGTGTTGGAGATTTCCTATAATTAGTGTTGAAAAGTAAAACCACGCTTGGATTGTGGTTTATTTTTGTAACATTTGAAGGATTTCAGTTGCATAAAGCCATAAAATCAAGGCTCCCTAGTACAAAAATAAACTTGTACACTTATGAATTGGAACTTTGTCAAAGTCACCTTCAAATGTGTTCAATATGTCCCAAATCGTTTACGTAAATGCATCTCATCCATATCTATATCCACATTGTATATCTGAATGCTGAAGGCGCTCTGCACTGCAGCCCAAAATGTACCCGAAATAGACATTGTAAAGTGTCGCTACGTCGCTTATAGAGAGCATACTGCATACATCATGACATTTCTGTGTCATAAATTTGTTGCCGCTTCGTTCTTTTTGGATTTTTGGCAGCATCCCGCCCGCCCCCACACAGAGAACTCAGCCCTGAAAGTCGTACGCACATGATGTTGGTGGGGTGGGATGTTGGGGGAAAAAGAATTTCTATCATTTGTACACTCCTGTGTGGGTTAATCGGAATGAAAAGTGAATGGAAAACAACGAGAAATGTGCGACGCTGAAGGAGAAACATGAAGGCGAACATGTGAAAGCAGTCCAGAAAAAGAAAGAGAGAGAGAGAGAGAGAGCAATCAAACGAGATCGAGAAACGCCCCCGCAATGTTTCTACATATATTCCATTCCATTCCACTCGACTCCAGTCTCCCCCGTTCCAGCCTCCATCTGCCCCCCTCTATTATTAGATATTAGAAGTCTCTGTGTGTGTTTTTTGTGTGCTGTGCTGTGCTGTGCTGGGCTGCTGCTGCACTATTTATAAACAATTCGAAATCGGAGTTTTTGTGAGTGATCCGAGACAACATTCAACCGTGCATGCGGCACTTGCCTCTGGGGCTGGGGCAAGTGAAAGGTTTGTTTCCACAATGTAACAAGAGTTGCCCCTCAAGCGTGGTAAAGGCAATCCATTAGGTATGAAAAATGGGAATTACAAGCATTATTTAAGTGCCATTATGAATGTAACTTACGCTTCAATGGAGTGTTTTGTTTAATAATTGTTTAGATATGTCTCAAATGAGACACTTTTATATAGAAAATGGTTGGAAAACCTATATTTGTATGGGTTATTATAGGTAAATTCGTATTAAAACTATTATTTTTCGCCTGAATGATGTTGCCTATAAGGACTCCCTGAACTTTTACAAGCAACTTTGCCGTACGCTTCTGTAGCTAGGAATATCTCCTCGTTAAAAAATATATGAAGAAAACCTTAAGAGTGACCTTGTAGGGGCCATTGATGGATAGATGGATGGATGAATGGATGGGATGTCTGTTCAGAAGATGCTATCGCCGAATGACATCTTTCTCTCTATACCCAAGACGCCCACTGAAGCATCTTGAAAACATCATTAACAATCATCAGACCCAGACCCTGTCTCAGTCTCAGTCTCAGTCTCTTCTGGTGCCTATTCTGCTGGCTCTTCTGCAGCCTTGTGGGCAGCTTGCGTATGCTTCAGATACAGATACAGATACAAATGCAAACCGAAAGACACTCGTACACAGCGACGGTTTGGCGGTCTGTTGGTCTGGCGGGTCGAAACCGGTTCCAGGCAAAATCAAAAGTTGCGCAGACGCCGTCGTCTCAGCTGCTGATGCTGCTGCTGCTGGGCCTGCTGACCAAAGCAGAAGTTTGGGAATTGGAATTGGAATTGGAACTGGAAGTGAGATTTGGATGCTGTGGAGTAAGAGTAAGAGATCGCTGGATGCTGTGTGTGTCGCCCCTTGTTTTGGGGGAGCTGGCCTGGCGCATGGAAACGGGTTTACTTCTCGTTTCTGCTACACCTTTTACGCCTGTTCCTCCAGGGTTCCGTTCCGTTCCGTTTCAATCCAATTGGAGAGAACGTGTTTCAAGGCTTTCACAGTGACTGGTGCAGGGGCAGGGGCAGGGGCAGGGGCATGGACAGTGGCAGTGGCAGTGCCAGGGTGTGTTTGTGGCCAGCAGCAGCAACAGAAAATAAAAGGAAAAGAAGGAGGTCGCTGTCAAACAAAGAGATCTTGGGAAAACAAAAGGCAAGCCTGGGGATTGGCTCGTACCCACACCCAACTTGGCAATGCGAGCGAGAGTGAGATATGTCTATAGAGAGAGAGAGAGCGAGAGAGAGTGAGGAGAGCAGGAAAGTCCCACCCTCATCTAATAAGAAATAACGGCGAATGCCAAGAATGAAGATCACGCTGCTCAAATCGCATCGCCTCGTATCGGGAGCACGCGATCGGCAAGAGACCGGCTAATGCATATGCTCGTAAATTGGCATAAATAAAGCAAAAGTCACGTAGATCCGTGGCCAAAAAGCAGCGGCAGAGAAACCAGTTTCAAGTTTCAGGCCAGGCCGGGCCGGGCCAAGAGAGTGGGAGTGCTGGGAGAGCGGCAAAGATCAGAATTCCAGATCAGATCATCCATCCAGTGGCAGCAGCGACGATGACGTCGCCGTCTTCTGAGTCAGCGGGCTGTCGCGCTCTCTCCGCTCTTAGCAAGTGAAGCCCAAAGAGCGCAAACAAACAGCTGGGATCCCCCACCAGCAACAAAGAGAGCAACAAAAAGAGAGCGACAGACAAAGCGTGGGTGCTGCCAGAAGTTGAATCATGTGGAGATTTCCCCTACTCTGATAATTCCCAATGAATGCTTCCCCGTAGAAACAGAACTGGAAAATATTCAACTCAAACGTTGAGCGGATTTCTCATGGGGGTTGGCTCTTGAGTTGCGTTTGAGTGAAATAATCTAAAGAGAGCGCCGGCTCGATTCGATAACGGAAAGTGTTCCCAGTTTAACGAGAAGTTGGGAAACGAGCAGGGAATTTGTTAGCCAAGGAAAATGATGTGGAAATGACTACTTAAACAATTGAATTAGCAAACATTTATTTGAGGATTAAATAAGTAATCATTTAAATGAAATTGTTGCATTTTTCAAGCATTGTCTCTCTCTTATGCTCCATAAAAGTGTCCCATGTTATAATATCTCGCATTATTTTGGCTTCCTTTTCTAGATATTGTCAATGCTTTCTTACCTCTCTGTTCCCTTCCATTCATTTGCTTGCATTCGAATTCAAATTAAACAAATTAACGATAATTTTGTTTGTTTGCTTTCATTTCCCCGGCACACCTTTCTATGCTTTGTCTGCATTGTTCCCACCCCGCCTGCAACCTGCTTGCCTAATTACTGACAACTAACTGCCGTTCCCGCTGCTGCTGGGCTTCAAGTTTTCCACTCCACCCCCTTCTAGAAGCCCCATTGCAATTGAAACCATCGCTACAATCCGCATATCAAACACCCCATAGACAAAGGGCTGCCCGGAGGCACCAGCCTGGGTGGCGAGGGGCGTGGCGGTCTGACTGCAGAGTCGAAGAAATTACGCTGATTGAACACTAATTTATTTGTTTGTTTGTTTTAACATTTTCGGCGCACTCTCAAGGACGTGGAAAGGGGAGGAGCGCGAGTGGAAACGTAGACTCGCAAGTCGAAAAGTTTTCCCTTCTCAAGGTGCAACTCCTCAGTGTTGCGCGCGTGTGTGTGTGTGTGTGTGTGTGTGTGTTGCAGGAGAGGTGGCAGCTTCTGGCTTTTTGTTGCAATTCGTAAAGTGAAGTTTTTTCTTTGTCTAAAGTCGCTTTTTCGCCTAATTGGCTGTAATTGAAATTGGTCTGATGGAGAGGTGTGAGAGTGGGTGTGTGGCATGCGTGATCGGAAAATCGATTGTTAATACGTGATTTTGCTAAAGAAAACATTTTCAATTGTTGGCGCAAAGATATCATCGCATTAAAACTAGATTTTCAATTTATATTTCGCCCCCAATGAAAATATTAGGACACAAACCCAGGATTGCCTGCGCGTATTTCCTTAGACCATTTTGGCCATATTCTTGCCTGTTTCAGGCAGGACTCTCTTGCTTCTATTGCCTGTTTTTTCGTATTTTTATCCATCCGCAAACACACACGCACACGTAGACACACTCCCCTCTCCCCGTAGTTTGCTGCCAGCCGTCGAGGATTTTTTGTTTGTGGTCGGTGCGACTTGTTTGCTCAAAATTCTGATATATTCACGTTTTGGCTTTTTGGCCACACGTTTTTTTCTTCTGTGCGCGTACCCTGTACTGTAAGGGTATGTTGTTCGTGTGATGGGAAAAACGAGCGTCTAGGGAAGATGGAAAGTTGTGGCCTAGCGATTTCTCTTATTGGTATTATCCTGTTGCCAATAGGAACATAAATATCACATCCGAAAGTAGTTTGCTTCGATTGTTCAACTCATTCTGACAGCCCCTGCGGTTGTGTTTCTCTGTCTATAGGGTATCTTAATGTCGCTCTTTAGACACTTTATTTCTTACTCATCTTTTTTTCTATTTTCTATGTTTTTTTTTTTGGTTTTTTGTTTTTCTTTCTGGCAATTTCCAGTCTGATGTGGGCGACCTTTTAGCGAACGTTTTCGCCATTTGCAGTTTTTCGCCTCTGGCAGCGGACATGCCATCTCTCACTCACTCGCTCACTCGCTCACTCGCTCACTCTTTCTCTTTATCGCTCTCACTATCTCGCTCTGCGTCTATTTTTTTGTGGGTTAGGGTTACTCCTGTTTCCGTGTGGTGTGTGTGTGCGGTGTGTCCTGCTCGCCTGCGATCTCTGTTTGTGTTTTCCGAGTACTTGGTTATGGTAATCGAATTTCAAATTATTGCCACGAGCTATATGCACTGTCTGCTCTATCAGTGGATGCGGGTAACGGGGCCGGGAATGTGTCGCTTTTTCCTACAGTTCTTCCTCCTTGCTGTGCCAAAAGTTTTCTCCTCTTTGTGTGTGTGTGTGTGTGTGTGTTGGGTGATGTTTTTTCCCCACTGAAAGATGAATTTGTGTTGTGTTTTTTTCCAGTTGTTGTTTGATTAGTTGTTGCTATTGTTCCTCCGCCCGCACCCACACCATCCACGAGGGGTGTTTGTGTATTTTGAGGTTTTTTGTCCACAATTTCTCCTGCCCCCGCTCCTCTCCGCATTTGTGTTTTTTTTTTTAGTGTGGCTGTCCTTGTTGCCGTTTACATCCTGTTTTCGGCGAGTTTTGAATATTTTGCGGTGCATGTTTTGTCATGCAATAATTTAATTGTCGGATTTGGCAGCTTAAGAGAGCAGCAGGCAGAAGCAGCTTCCCGACAGAATATGTGTGTTGGCTTGTGTCCGGTAGGGGGAGGAGGGATGGCAGGTGTTGTTGTCCGATCCGACCGTTTTGTTTGTTTGTTTTTTCTGTCCATCCCTCTGTCTCTCTGTCTCTCTGCCTGTGTGTTTGTTTGTTTGTTTGCCTATCCGGCGGACACTTTGCGATTTATTTATGTTTGGATTTGGCTTGTTGCTGCCCGCTGCCACTGCATCTGAATCTTTTGACAAATTGCTGCAATTAGTTGACCAACAGGTTCGTTCTTTTCCGGCCTAAAATGTACAGAATTGAGAAGAGCGCAGTGATAATTCAGCTGTTTTCCATTTAACAAACTAAATGTCTCAAAAAAGTCTGCAGATTCTAGGCAGAAATTTAAGATAATAAAACAAATAGGAACATAAATTATCCTGGAAAGCGAAAGGCGCCCACAACTCTGTCGATTTAAATATATTATTTCCACGGCCCGTTTAAATAGTTGAATACTGTTGGAGTTTAGTTTTAGTTATAGCAATAGATACTCTCCGCATGGAAATGGTTACGCAATCAATTTACTTGCTCTAGCCCAAACCCCCTGCCAACCAACGATTGTTACCTAGCGCACAGCTCTGTTTCCGTGGCATTATAATTAATAATCAACAGAAGCTTAAAGATTTTAATTAAAATCAACAGCAGACTCTGTTCGGGTTTACCAACTGCTGCTGCTGCTGCTGCTGCTGCTCGTGTCTTTCCGTTACACTCTTTGGCTTTGTTCTGCTCTTTATCTTTGCTTTACGTTGACAACTCTGGACAGCTATGGCAACCCCTGCTCCCTGCTGCAGCGCCACCGATCAAGAGCTGCGTTGATTTCTTTTAATTTAGCCGCAATGACCTGCATCGAAATGCTTTTGTGTCGCACTCGCTACATGTCCGGGCATCCTGCATCCTGCATTCTGCAGCTGCAGCTGCCACCAGCTTCGGCTCCTATTTTAGTTGCAATCCGTTTTGCTGGCAACTTGGCCAAGTTTCAGTTTCAGTTGCAATTACTTGGCGCACCTGAAGTGGAGCACAACAACGACAACGACGACGATAACTGTTGTCGTTCGGCGATGGCCATGCTGGGTCAAAGGTTAGTTTGTTTGTTTGTTTTCGTTGTTGTGGCGACTCCCATCCGATTGCACACACCCTCGCTTGGTTTTTATTTTTATTTTTTTCGCTGCCAGCAGAAAGGAAGGAAGGATTCTTTTCCATTTTGCAATTTTTCCTTTCCCTTTCCCTTTCCCTTTCCCCGCTACAGACTATTTTTTCTGTTGACTCTGCGCTTTCTATTTACGCTCTACGCTGGCTGTGCTGCTCTGGCTCTGCTCCACTACTGTTGTTTGTTGAGTTTCAACTGCAATTATGTGAATTTCCACCGTGCACAGCATAAAACATTTCTCTCTGGCCCCCCCCGTTCCCCAGCCAAGTTTCAGCTGATGCCACACCCCTGTCTTACGGGGACAGCCAGTAGCAGCATTCTGCTGCAAGCTCAAAGTCAAACAGCGCCAGGGACAAGTAAACAGCTTCAAAGTCAATAAAGGGTGGGGTGTGTCGGGGAAGGGGTCAGAGGGGGCAGCGTAGATACTACTTAAATCTAGAAAAAGGAACGGAGCGGAGCGGAGCGTCTTGCCGTTCTGCTAACAAAACTCACGCCGCCTTAGGGCTTAACAGCAAAAAAGTGTTGCCTAACGTCTGGCAGACTCTGGCTATTCTGTGTGCCATTGAGACATTATTATAGCGGAAATGATATGTATTTGTGTTTAAACTTCAAACGATAAATGGTGGGAAATATTTGGAATATCTAAAGAGCTATAGAGCAAATCTTTTAGTATAACGAATCTCTGGTTGTATGCAGCGCCAGTTTCTATATTTGGAAATGATATTTATGGTGTCTCGAATAATTCCTACATCCACTTAGCCTTGAGGTTTTGCACACATTCCGTAGTTATTTGTAATATTGTTTTAAAAAAATCATAAAAATCGAAATCTTTCAGTAACAAATATCGTAGAAAATTCCAAGTATTTTTGAAAACTTTATAAATTTGTTGTCGCTTTGGAAGAGAAAAATCAAATGTCCCCAAATGCTGCTAAGAAACGGGTGAGTGACAGGCAACAAATGCCAAATCGTTGGATTTCTGACAGCCTAGAGATCTCCCCCAGGCGATGTCCTCAGCACAAAAGCGGAGAAAGTTGAGGAAGAGTATTCCTGGCTGCAGGAAACCACCAAATGCCCTCAGTTCGGCGCTCATTCGACGCATTTGCCGCTTGCCGCCAAAGAGGATGCAGGCCCACCCGATTGCTGAGGTCAGATACCTCAATCCAGAGTTCAGGAAAGTCGATGAACCTGGCGCTGCCACCTCCGTTTGCACCGTGTGCCATGAGATCCATTCAACCCCTGCAGTCGAGCCCAATGAGCCGTTGTTGGAGAAAGTTCAGCAGGAAACCCAAACGGAGCCATGCTGGGGTTGCAGTTGCCACTGCAACTTTTCTGGTGATCAATCCAACCTGCAGGGGTCCAAACAAGTGACAGCCAAGACGTCCAATCGGATGTCAAGCGAGCAATATTATCAGAAGTCATCGTCCAGCAGGGAAATACTCTCAGCCAGCCAGGTGGCAGTCGAAGGACCCTTTCTGGAGCAAGTGGCGCGTGCAGCTCGGCTGTCCTTTAGGTCCAGCCAAACGTCCCAGGATCAGCCAGTCGCCTTGTCGCACCAAGGATCTGTGTCCCACCATCTAGACAGTGCTTTCGATGGTTTATCCTGAGGGTTGGGCAGGGTTCCGCTTCTCCATTCACATGGTGTCACGTAGACGCTTCGTTTTCTTTGAGTTTTCAGTTACAGGGGCAGCGGCGGCAATCACCAAATAAAAAGCCATCGGACAGTTGCTGAGCTCAGTTTCAATTTTCACTTAGAACAAAGTTGGGCAGGAAGGCTGCGGCCCTGCGATGTTGCTGGGTTCTTGTAATCAGAGCAAAAGTATAGACGGCAGCAGACACTTCCTCCTGCCACTGCCAAATCACGGTTCGGGTTAAGAGTTTCCCCTTCACACACTCATCCTTGAATGCCATGAAAAAAAGTGAACCATACCCTGGAATATCCACTCCAGTGTGGCATATCCTTTTGCCAGGCAGCTGCTTCTCTCTACGAGCTTTAAAGGGTATACCAGAAATGAGAGTAAAGCAAGTGGAAAAACAAAAAAATGCTTGCCAAAATCAGCAAAGGAAAACGGAAAAGTTTTCTATGTGTGTTGTGTGTGTGGCTCACGTGACATTTGTTTTGGCAAGTGTCCTGCTCCTCTCATTGGCGACAAATCAGCGCAGAGAACGTACCTGCAACAAAGACAATTGGTTGGTGGGGAATTAGTTGGATTCGACTATGGATTGCATATTTAAAGAGCTTAAAGTGGCAAAAAGTAAATACTTAAATCGATTCTCCTCCCCGCTTATGCAAGTGGAACGAGAACCTTTTGTGCACAGATCGCAGAGAAATTTCCACAGTAAGTGTGAAGCCATGCTGTTGCTTCTGTGCCTCTTTGGAATGATCTGCCAGCTGGTGTTGGGTCAGGAGGAAGCCCTACATCTAGAATGTGGCAGGAATATGGTCTACAACGAAGAAGCCGTGCGGTGTGTGTCCAAGAAACACGCCAAGAAAGTGAGCTGCCCCCTGGGCTACAAGTTGAATGCGTTCGCCCAATGCCAACACACCACGTACAATGCAGGAAAGTGAAGATCCATCCATAAATATTTAACAATAGAAAGCCTTGAAATCGATTGTTAGGCCTTTTGGTTTCGCTTATGCAAGCAGCAAGCAAATATTTGATGGATCATTGAAGCATTTTGCGCCGCAGTTCGTAGCTTGAAGCCATGTTGTTGCCTCGTATCATATTGCTGTGTCTCCTCGGGCTGAGTTATCAAGCAAGGACGAAGCGGGGGGGCAAGTGTCCGCTTGGCTACGTGTACAACAAATTCTCCAAATGCTCACGCATACCCTACAGAGCGGGAAAGTGAGACGAGATCAAAAATAAATATTGCAACTTAAGCATTTACATTTTTATTTGATTATTGGACATTAATCAAGGATGTTTCACATTCTTGCCGTAGCCCAAATTGTAGCCAAACCAGGCGCCAGTGTATGCAGTTGTGGCCTTGGTGTTTTCCCTTTTCTGTATGGGTTTCCGCGGCACTGGCGGATAGAGGATTTTGTGCCACCACTTCCTGAAGACGTCCCACTGATGCTTGCCATGGTACTTGACGCGCATGCACTGCTTGTACCGTGCGTTCATTTTGTAGCCCCAGGGGCAGGATCTATAGCTGCGTGGCACCAGCACCGGCTGGCACTCGCCCAACTCTTCGCTCCACTCGAATCCCTCCTCGCACGGTATCCAGCCCGAATTGTCCACAAACGAGTAGAATCCATCCGCTGAGGCATCCACCAGCGAGTGGGACAGATGCGTTGTGGACTCTATCAGCGAGTAGCTCAGGTCCGTCGCCAACTCCATTCGAACGAGACTGATTTTAACCCCAGCAAAAACCATTTCTCACGGGGCTCTTATCAAGCGTGTCTTGGCCACAGTTTTCAGTTTTACTTAAGGTATTTTTCCACGCTCTAATTCTAATCTAATGCCAATCCAGCCCCGATTTTCTTCTACGAGTTCCAACTCCACAGCGGAAACTCTTCGGCGATCTGTGAAGTCTTCAATGGCTTCTTTCTGGCGGTCTTTGGTTTCTGGGAGCTCAAGGACAACGGCTTTCTGTTGGTAATATTTTGCTTTGTGGTCTTTGGTTTGGCCTTGGTGGCAGCCTTACGGATTGTGGGCTTTGGTTTTTGTGTGATGATCTCGCCGCTGCCCACGACCTTCTCAGTTGCCTGCTTGCTGCTCCTCCTTGGCTTTGACCAGCTCCAGGGGTGCCATTCATCTTGGTTATCCTCCACAGCTTCCATCCTTGCGGGCCTTCGCTTTGGCAGCACCTTGGGCTTTGCCTTTCGCTTGCTCGATTTTCGGTTACCTCCAACAGTTCTACCCGGTGGTGTGCCTTCAGAGGGAGTTTTTTCGCCTGCTGGTGGCTCGCCTCCGTCTTCAGATGGAGTTTCTTCGCCTGCTGGTGGCTCCCCTCCGTCTTCAGATGGAGTTTCTTCGCCCGCTGGTGGCTCCCCTCCGTCTTCAGATGGAGTTTCTTCGCCTGCTGGTGGCTCCCCTCCGTCTTCAGATGGAGTTTCTTCGCCTTCTGTTGGCTCGCTTCCGCCTTCAGATGGAGTTTCTTCGCCTGCTGGTGGCTCGCTTGCGCCTTCAGATGGAGTTTCTTCGCCTTCAGGTGGATTGCCTTCGCCTTCAGATGGAGTTTCTTCGCCTGCTGGTGGCTTGCCTCCCCCTTCAGGTGGTTTGCCTTCGCCTCCAGGTAGTTTGCTTCCTTCTGCTGGTGGCTTGCCTCCCCCTTCAGGTGGTTTGCCTTCGCCTTCAGGTTTCTTGTCTCCCCCTTCAGGTTTCTTTTCTCCGCCTTCTGGTGGCTTTGCGGTTGTTTTCTGGTTCTGTGCTCCTTCTTTGGGCTCCTCGGTAGCTTCTTCCTCCGTTAACTCCTCGTCCTGTTCTTCGACAACCACAGGACGGTGCACTACTGGTAAGCTGGGTGGTGGTCTTTCTTCAGGCGAGTCGTACCAGGGAATGATGTGGCTTGGATACCTGGCCGTGGTGGTCCTCTTGCCCGCGTTCTTATCGGGCAGAAACCAGCCAAAGTCCTTGCGGATTGTGTCCAGCTGCTGTCGCGGCCTATAGGCAATGCGCACGCATTGATCCTTCTGGTAGGGATTGAGCCAGTTATAGCCGTAGGGACACTCGGTCCTCCTCGCAGGCCCCACCATACCCGGCCCCAAGAGGCACACCAGGCTGGCCACAAGTGCAACCAATGTGCCGCGTCCTACCATGTCGCTGCGGTCAGGCCAACTGGCAGGCAATCCATCCGCTCCGAGATCGCTTGGATCGGCTCTCTTTTGGCGTGTGACTAATTAAGTATTTAAGTCGATTAACTAAAGCAGTTGCAGTTGCTGCAAAAGTGAGTTGCTCGAGTTGCTTGTGGGCTGTGGGGCAGGCGATATTCAATGCCAAAGTCAGTGGCAAGTTTCAAAACTTAGCAGCAAATATGACGGGGAAGAGGATTGCCCGACACCTGAAAGGAAAGGCAAGAGTCCAAAGCCAAAGCCAGCGGCAGAGTGGAACAGCTTTCATCTCATTTCAGCTCCTTTTCATCTTCATCTCTTTCTCAGTGCCGTGTCTTTTGCCTTTTGCCATTTGTTTGTTTGTTTGTTTGTTTGTTTGTTTGTTTGTTGTGTGCCAGTGCTGTCGGAACTATCTGTCAGACGCAAACTGAGTGCACTAAAAGTGTCGCCTTGCAGCAGCAGCAGCAACTGACTGGGAAAGATAATCAGGCAGTGAGAGAGAAGTGCTGGAGGTGCTGCAACTTTTGCTAATGGTTTATCTGGGCGCTGGGTTCCCTCTTTTTTTTCTGTTCACCTTTTTGACTTCAAGTTGCCACCGAATTGAGTGAGTTTCTTCATCATTTTGAATGGCATTCTCCCGACTTCATCTCCATTTACTATTTCAATCACTTGAAGAGATTTAAAACAAGTTTATTTGCCTAGGAATCTAGAGGAGGATTTTCTCTGTTCCCTTGCTACACATTTGTAGCTCTTGTTGTACTTTTGGTCACTTTTTTGTCGCGTTTCCTCCTGGCTCTTGCAGCTCCACTGATCTCATCGCTTTCCACGTCATTCTGCTCTTCACTTGCTGCAATTTTTGGCGCTTTTAGCTGTCTTCCCTTACCGATCCATTTGTTTGCAGGAGGAGCATCTGACTTTCTAGCAACTCCTTCGTCCGCTTTGGGCGCTCCTGCTTCTGCAGGCTCCTCCCCGCCTCTGCCGTTTCTTTGAAGAATTTTGGAAAATAGTTGATGAAAAGTTCTTTGCGCGCCTCTTGCTCCAGGGCCCTCTATTAATCCTCCTGCTGGTCGACCTGCTCCGGGTGGTCCTCCGCCAGGTCCTGCTTCTTCTAGTCCTCCGCCACCTGCTCCACCTCGTCCTTCTCCTGCTCCTGCTCCTCCTCCTGCTCCTGCTCCTGCTCCTCCTCCTCCTCCTCCTCCTAGTCCTCCTCCTCCTCCTCCTAGCCCTCCTCCTTCTCCTTCTCCTCCTCCTCCTCCTTCTCCCTCCTCCTTATCTTTCCTCGGCGGTTTCTTACGCGGCCGCTTCGTTGAAGGCTTCGTTTCTTCGGAATCGCCCCACGGCATATAGATGGTGCTTGGCCGCTTTGTCGTGATGGGCAAAAACCAACCAAAAACCTTTCGAAAAAAGTCCGGCTGCTGTACCGCGTGATACTTGATGCGGGAACACTTTCGCTTCTCCCTGGATGTCCAGCTGTAGCCCCAAGGGCACTTGACGGGCCGCTTGGCACGCCAGAGCGGCGATCCCACCACCACGGGCGGCACCTCCTCCGGCCAGAAGATGTCACCCGACATGCCGCCTAATATCTCCATTGATGGTCCGCTTGTCACGGGGAAGGCCATGCCGCTGCTACGTGCTGTCGTGTGGCACTGTCGCCTGCCCGTAGACTGCACCTCTGCTGGATCGAATCTCGATTCCAGGTGTGACGCATCCATTAGCAAGGGATCAGCGATCGAATTTGGTTAAAAGCAAGAAATCTCTCACTTGCTGCTTGGACTTGCAACACATTGCCACGCCATGCCACATTGTTCCGCGTCCTGTCTGCTGTCAGTGGGGGGTTGGGGAGAGGGTGAGGCACAGACAACATCGTCTGACAGTTTGGCTAACATTAAAAGCGGCAAAATGTTGCGGCGCTGCTTGCCAAATGACATGATTTCTCTCAGTTCTGATTCGGTTTGCCACTTGCCACATGCCACTCCTAGTGGCACACACAGACACACATCAACTGCAACTCAAGAGTTGAGCGAAACTTTTGCTTATCTACGTTACAGCCACAAGAAGCGAATCCGCCATCCGCCACACCGCCACACTGCATACCTCCATGTCCATGCCACACGCTGCCATCCACAGCAGCAACGTCTTGAGGTAGCTTCAGCTTCACGTTTGCCTTGCCTGTTGTTCTCACTGTTCTTGCGTCTTTTCTTGTCCTGTAATTTCTACACATGCCAAGCGGAGAACAAAACTCTTTGCGACTCCTCCCGGCCAGAGCTTCATGGCGCACGCCTCATGGCTCCTGGCTCCTGGCTCCTTGCTGGCTGCTGTTTTGTGCGTGTTTTTCATTTTATTTTCTTGGCACAAAATTGGGTTTTAGTGGATTTTGTGGCAAATGATTTTTGCTCGCTGCTGTTGCCGTTGCCGTTGCCGTTACGCTTGCATAAACTTTAATTTAATTTCTGGCCGACACAGCGCAGCATCCTCAGCAAAAAACAAAAGCAAAAACCATCTCATATTAAAGCTGGAAAGTGGCAGTCAAAATTCTGTTTCGCCCCCGCACTAAATTGCATTCAATCAGCTTTTGCCGCGTTTCTTGCCACATTGAATTGAATATTTTGTGGACACGATGCTGTTGCCATCAATTCAAATGTGTCTGCCACATCAGGCACACAAACGCATAGAGAGAGAGAGAGGGAGAGAGAGAGCGAAGACGCCAGCTAGGTTGCACACAAAAGTGCAATTGAGTTGAAAGAAGTGCCAAAAGGGCACACACACTCGTGCCAAGCCAAGCCAAGGAAAAAAAAGGGGCCAAAGAAAAGCCATAAAAATGGCTCATGCCACAACGGGACCACCCCCCTGCAGCTGTGCAGGTGAAAAATTATAGCGTAAAATTCATATTTGATGACTTTTTGATTGCCAAAACCGAGAAACTCTTGTCCGCCTTCAGCACCAGTCCTCCCCAGTCCTTTCCTCAGTTTCAAATCCCTGCAACCTGCCTCAATCTCAGCCACAAATTCAGGTCCTTCTTCAGGCACATAATGCCACGAAAAGTGCTTTCAATGGCGTCATTGTCAACGTTCTTCACCGCCACATCGTAATCGTCATCATCATCCACATCCACATCCACATCCACATCGACCTCTCTCTCTGTGCATCAACTGGATGCCTGTAGCTGGGAGCTGAAGCTGGATTGCTGTAGCTGTTGTTGCATGTGTGTAGTGGCTGTGGATCCACAGCAATGCCAAAGCTCTGGGATTAAGTTGAAGCTTTCGGGTAGATGGCATGCCACAGCTCAGAGCTCCTTTTGCTCCTTTTCATTTTTCAATATCTTGTGTCGTTCGTTGGGCAGGAGGAGCAGGAGAAGCCTTCAGGGCGCTTGATGATGCTCAAGTTATGTTACCCAGGGAAATACTCGTACATCGAAAATGTGCACCAAATCGTTGCCATCAACTCTCCTGACTGCCATTCGTCATCGCACGTGAATGGTGCACCTTTGCCCGCACATTTCAATCAACATTGTGTGTGTGTAGCTGTGTGTCCTTCCCTCTGCTGCGTGGAGATTTTTAAACCCCGAAAACTCAGCCGCCAGCTAATTTCAATTAACGTTTGAGGACTGGCGTTGGCGTTGGCGTGGGTCCCGCGTGTCCTGCGTAGGTGTTGACTGATGGCCGACTGACTGGGGACACTAATGCTGCTGCTGCATACTCAGGACATGGACGTGGGACAAACTTCAATGTGTTAATGACGCGTTGGCATTGCCTAAAACGGTCACGTTACTTTGCATTGTGTGTGCCACACTCGCGTGTAATGATTTGTGCCAGTTTTGAGAGGCGGCAACCCCATCATTCTGATGCTGATGTCATACCAACCAAAAAAAGAACCAGAAAAGAAAAATAAAGCCAACAAATTAGAGCGGCGAAAATGAAAACATTTTGTCACATGTTGACCTTAATTACAGGACTCTTTACGGGAGGGAGGCAACAGCTTTAATGGCAACATTAGCTTAATGCCCAAAGCTCATTAAAGTCAATGATTAAAGGACATCAGGCAGTGCTTCGAGTTGTTATTTAGTCAGGGCTAAAATTGAAGAAGAGAGAAGGACATCAGCAGCACAGAAAGATTTCCCAACACCTTTTACGAGCGTATTACCCTGTTCCAGGGGACAACAAATATATCTATCAGATTTTTATGGCTATATTTTTGTCAAAGGAACTTCCTGTTGTTGGGCAGAGTTGCTCAAGCTCTAATTCGGTTGATGGTTCTAAAGTAATCAACCAAAAGTGTTCTCCTCTCTGCTCCCATTGCACTTTCACTGCGAGAACGAGGAAGCCAGTCTGACTGGCTGGCGACTCTCTTGCTGGATCCAGAGCAGAAAACCCAAGCAACGATTTTTATATGCCATTTGGCGATTTTACAACTTTGCTGGCGCCTGGCTTATGCCGAACCCAAACCAACTGTGGCGCTCCTCCCAGTCGGTTCGGCTTGCCAGAGGGGGGGTGAACTGTGGTTCACTTTGTTGGCGCCATGCTGTGGCACAGGCTTTGCTCTACAATCATTTTTGTTGCTGCTGTTGCTGTGTGTGTGTGTGCCAGTCGGGGACGTCGCGTCGCGTGCTTGGGCCATTTTCCATTTTCATGGCATTCGTCGCCAAAATGGCGTTGCGTGCTGCCGCGAAATGTTTGTCGAATGTTTCTGAAGAAAGAAGAAAACCCCGAAAAAGCTTAAGCCTCGAAGCAGAGGCTACCCCACGAAGGAATCTCCGCTGGGTTAATCAATTGAAAAATGCCCAACCCAAGCGACTTTTCCATGTGTGGGAACATCAATGGGTACTGGCAATGGGTGGTGGGGCTAAGATATGAAGTGTATTAGTGACAAACACATTGAAATTTGTATGCGTCACAATCATTGGAGTCGCGCAGTCACAATTCACAAACCGAATCACAATCCGAGACCAAAGGGCGAATCAAGTCATTTCTTTTGCCGGAGCAGCAAGAATCATAAAAAGATTTATGGCGCTTTCAAGGCAACAGTCTCGGTGTCTCGGAGTCTCGGAGTATTCCTCCATTTGCGATGACAAGCACAAGGTCGGTGGTGTGGGAGGTGCGTGCGGAAAGTGTTCCGTGTTCTTAGGAACAGCAAATAAAAGAACAGAAAATATATGAGGATATTGTGGCACTAAATAGGTAAAGTTCATAGTCAAAAAATCAACAGAAAGTTGTCTAACCGATGGATACGCACACCCACACATAAATCGTAAAGCCTGCCGCCAGTTGGGTTGATTCGAAGAACCCGAACCCCCCAAGAACAGACTCCCTGTGGAGAGTTTCCCTTTTTCGGTGCTCACGAATTTTGCATTGTTTTAATGCATTTGCAACTGAAAACTGCAAACTTTTGGGGCGTGGCCATAAACTTTTGCAGAAACTGTTGGCTGGGGCTGGGGCCTATTTTCATTGTGCAATTGGAAACTTTATGCAAAAATAAAATGCTCCCAAAAAATAAGCAAAATAGTCCAAAAGAATGGAGAAAAATAAAACAAAGCGCTTGCTGGCTAGTGTAGCCTACATTTTGGGCCAGCCTGGAGCGGAGTGTAGTGGGGGGTTGGGCTTGGGGGTTATTCTCACACTTAAACTCTTGACATCCGCTGCGACTTCCGGCACCCAGAATATTACTCATTGTTTGCCTCACATTCATTTTGATCGCTCCACCACACACCAACAAATTAATTGTGAAAAAATAATTTACAATACAAATATCTACATAGATGGTTGGCTTTTTTTACTGCCAAAGAATGGCATGGAAAATGGTTTTCATAACCAAGAAAAATCCCAATCACATCCCTCAAAAAATGAGTGAGATATTCTGCAGAATGTGTGACGAAAAGTCTGCCAAATGTTCGGCGGTAACCTGTGAAGCCTTGACGGGGAAATGACAGGAAAAACCATAATTGAAAGTGTCTTTTTCAGTCGTTGATGTGTGTGCGGGGACATCGATCAAATATCCACCGCTGGCTGGGCAGGTTTTCTACTCGTGTGTGGCATGGTTCTTGTATCGAAATCGAGAGGCTTAGTGGAGCTGCAAGTTCTGACAGGCGGAACAGATGGAAAAGTGGAAAAATAAAACCAGAGAAATCAAAACTGGAATAGGGAATGTCAAGGGCTGTGTCAGCTGTAGAAGTGCTTCATTTCAGAGACACGAGATGCTTAAGGAAAGGGATTATTAGGGAAGGATTGTCATAATTTTCTTGTAATTTTAAAATTTTGATTTATGCTTGCGTTGGATGTACTTTTGCTACTACTTATTGAGAGAATATACCGAAGTGTTAGTGTTGCTGAAATATGTGTGCGCAGTGAATTAACACTATCCATCAGGGGTACAAATTTGTTCAGGCCCCAGACGGCTTCAAATGCAAATGAAAATGCAAATGCAAATTGCGTTTGTTTGCGTTGTGTCATTTGTCGCTTGGTTTGAGGCTGGAGGGACTGCTGGATGGATGCTGCTGCGGTTGCCACAAACGGAACACTCTTGCAGATGGCAAATGTGACAACTTGTTACAAAATTCATCAACTTGTGAAATATAAATCACACACACACGAGAGACAGACAGGCAGACAGGCAGACAGGCAGACAGTGCAGTTCATTGCCATAGATCACATTCCGGACTGTGTGTGTCTTCAAGTAATTTCGATAATTTTCTGTGGCTTTGGCGCACAGCCTGCACAGTGGGCCACACACAGTGACCGGTAGCTGGTGCGGCTCGAAACCGATTTGTCCCATTGTACTTAACAGCAAACACACTTTTTGGGGCGAATGTAGTAGGCCTTTAAATCGAATCTCTCGACCCCTTGGGTGCTCAGCTCAGAATTTTCATTCCACTGCCGGCAGCCGAACTGTGAACAACAGAACAAAATAGGAAATTCTGTAAGGGTCTAATTCTAAGCAAAGCAAACCAACTTGTGAGTAAAAAAATTAAATTAAATTAAAAAAAAAAAAATTAAATAATAAATTCATACTTTTGATTGTTCTGTGTGGGTTTAGCTTAAACATGTCTTCTTCTGATGAATCCCCTTCTGGTGGCGATGGTGGCGATGGAGCTGGATCCGGTGGAACGGCGGGCTCGACCACGGCTGGTGCCGCTTTGATGATGGCCAGCCCTTGGCTGACGGTGGCCGCTGCCGCCGCCTACACCACCACTGCCATGTGGGTCAAGCTGCGTGACTTGGGGATCTTCAAGAGTTTGTGTGGTCGCAAGGCAGCTGCCGCTGCCGCAGCCGCTGCCGCAGCTTCGGTGGCAACAGACGCTGAGGACTCTTCGCTTGAGTTGCTGCAAGATCTGGAGCTGCAGCAGCGTGAAGAAAAGGAGGGTCTGGGACCCGATCGAATACTCGAGATGTCGCCCATTGACTGTTAAATTGGGTGGCAGACAGGATGAGGACACGAATCATACACTGAACCAATCCCACACTCGCACACTCATGCATACACCACACACCTATACACACACACACACACACACACACAGACATGTAATTGTAATAATTGTTGTAATGCTTGCGCGTTCCAAAGGGGATGTACAAGAAAGGAGAATCACACACAACGCCAAACAACAAATTGAGACAAAGCAAAATTAATTGTGATTACCACACACGATGATGCCTGTTAAGCCTCCTCGAATGACAAGACAAAAGAATGTTGTTAGGCATCGAGTTCATATAAACCATTTATTGAAAGAAAAACCAAAAGAAAAATTGAATTATTATGCGGAGTTATTGCTGATCGATCAATTGAGCGACGACGACGACGCCCCATTATGTCACAGAAATCGTGCAACAAACACACGGAAACTGGAGCAACAGCACATGCAACCAGAGGCGCCCCATGCCTGCGCTAGCCATCGCCCAATCGCCCCATCGCCACTCATGTCCAGCCACAGACACCGCCAAAGCAACGACTTCCTCTGATGGAACACGCGGGGATCTTGGCTGGGAAAAAGTCGCAAATGAAAAGTGTGTAATTAATTCAGCTGTCAATTAGCAATAATTTTGGATATTTATTGACAGGCCTGCTATGTTCTACAAACCTCAAACGAATGAGTCTCCGAAAACAGTTAAGCAAATGGGTATAGAAATTTCCATAAATATTTCGCATAACTTATTTAATTATCAATGAAAATTGCGGCACAAATTAATGGCCGAGTCTTTTGTAATTGGTTTTTTGCTATTGCTGTGCTGCTAATGCGGTTGGATGTTGATGATTTTCTGAATGCAGCAGCAGCAGCAGCAGCAGCAGCAGCTCCACTTCACTCTCCACATCACGATGTCGTAACACGCCATAAGACGTGCCTCCATGGCTCCGTGGAGCCACCGCTCTAAATCAGTAAAATCCACCGACAACTTTGTTGTATGTATAACTCACTTGTTTCTTGTTGCATACCCTTGCAGCGGGTCCAATGAGTTTTAGTAGAGTAATGCCAGATGAATGTACGTTTATTTCGTGCAGTCTCAGTTCTAGTTTTTAGTTTATCCCTACTCTTGCTTCATTTTGTGTCCCACACAGTGCATCCATCAGCCGCTTTGGTTCTGCTTTGCTTTTGCTTTTCTTTTTCTTTTGCTACACACATTTTTTTATCTGCCTCTCTCCCTCTCTCTCTGTGTTGCTTTGCTGTCGAATCGAGCGATTTCCTTGACGGCTTTTCCTCAAGTGATTTTCGCCACGTTTTTCCCCTGCACTGCTGCGGCTTGAGTTGAATTCAATATTTTATCTTTCGGTTTCTTTTCACATAATAAACGCGCTTTTGGCATAATTGCCGAGCAGCAGCGGTTGGCTGTGGTGCGGTGCGGTGCGGTGCGGTGGCGGGGGCGGGTACACAGCCGCTCTGTGTGCCGTGGGGTCTGTGGAGTCAGTCGATAATTATGATGTCTTGTTGTTGCTGTTGTTTTTTTGCCTGTTGCCCGTTGTCGTTGTGGTTATCGTCATCGCCTGCCACGGTAATATGCCGTTTGCCCTCTCTCTCTCTCTCACTCTTTTTCCCTCTGTGCGCTTTCATGTAATATTTGCTCACAATTATTGCGAGACGAGGCAGCCACAGCGTGGCTGGTGTTGCTGTTGTTGCGGTTGCATGTTGCAATAACAATTTCGCTTTCGCTTTCCCGTAAGCTTAGCCGCCTGCCGCTCCATTGCATACCCCTTAGCCATTGCGTGTCGCGGGTATGCACGCCCACTGCCAGCATGCCGCATGCCACAGCGGACGAGGGCAGTCACAGTGCCAACACTGCCACTTGCCGGGCACTTGCCACACGGTGCATCGGTTTTAATTGTGACTCATTTGGCGAGGGGCGCGACATGAAAGCCAACGTGCAACATGCCACTGCCTTGCCTTGCCGGACGATTAGAGCAGGGCCTGTGGCTGGGGCTGGGGCTGGGGCTGAGCCAGGGGACTTTTGCCACCCAAAAGAGTTGTCCCCGACACTCGCATAACCATCGACACTGCCATCGCGACTCCATTCTATGGCTTCATTTGCCGCTCTGGTATTTCATGGAATTTTACGAGCATCGATGGCGATTCGTCGGTGCCTGAGTGCCGAGCAATTTGCAAAAGATACAAATCTATCTATGCAAAATCCAGTGGCACGAATGTTGAATCAAACTGTGGCACAGGTTTGCTCGCGGTGCAATCAATGTTTTTTTTTGTCAGCATTTTTCGTAGCATTAAAATTATTCCAGCGGAAGGAACATTATTTAATTACGGAATTAAAAACATTATTTTTTGTGGGTTTCGAGTGTTAAGTCTTTAATTAAATAGTTTCTGTGATGGACTGTTGCCAGTGCAACAAATTTCGACTGATTAAAATTAAAATTAAAATTAAAATCTCTTACGCAGCAAAGTTTTTCGCTTAAAGTTTTAATAGCCACACGCAGCACACACCCCCAAAGCACACACTCCAAGCATCAGCTTCAACTCTACGCACAACAATCCAAACACACACAGTTAAAAAAATAGCAACAACAACAACAACTGGAGGATTGGATTAAAAAAGTTTCCTGCCTTTCGGCTGCTCGCTCTGTGGCTCTCTCGCTCTCTGAATTCAATTTGAATTTAATTACTCTCAATGCCAACTTTTGACACACATTGTGGGGGCTGCTAGGGGACTGGCTCTTGCTACCGTTTCTATGATTTGTTAAGTAGCTGCCGCGGGACAGAATCACTGCTAATCAGATCAACATTATTAGCGCCAGATAACAAGACAATTGCATTCCTTTTTGCCATTGTCTAGGAGCGGTTTTCACTTTACAACATGTTTGTATGTGGCTGGCAGCTCTCAGATGTGTTGCCCTGCTCTAATTTTAATCCTATTGTCATTGTCATAAGCTCCTGTCTCTACTCATACAATATTCATATCTATGTGTGGGAATTGCCAATGAATCCTCTATAATTAATTGGAGGCACATGAAGGACCCAACCATATTGCAATGTGAAAATCTCTTAAAGCTCTTTATTTGAGCTACAAATAAATCAAGAATTCATCTTGAAATTGTTTCAATTTTGAGTACTAAAATCAGCTTAAAGCTGCTCTGCATGGGGGCTCTTTTTGGTGCTGGAAAGTGACTTTCGGGTTGCACAGGATGGACCGGAAGGAATCGCCAAGGCGGGGATGGCAGTAACATGTTGGCGTCGTCTAGAAACTTACAAAACATGACATTAAATGTAGCCCCGCTCGCAGATGGCACACACACACACACACACACAAAAGCAGGTGAAAAGAGCAGCGACATGCGCCGGGCCCAAGAAAACTTTCCGCTGCGATGGCGGAGAGATTTCCGCGTTGCGTATACGCCACCGTATAGCCAGCGTGGAATTTAAATGCCGGCAGACAGACAGTCAGTGAGAAGTTCTGTGGCACCTATGGGAATTTCATTTGTTGTTCATTTTTGAGCAGTTCGCGATTTGAATTCCAAGCTCTTTTTGTTCAACTTTATGCTACCCCGTAACGGCAGAGGTATGCGGTGTTTGAACAAGCAGAGGGCAGCCCATAAGGTTGATGAATTCTCTTGAATGCATCTATGGACCATAGAAAATGATTTCATGAAGCTCTTTCTTACTTTCTGAACGGTTTTCTTGGATAAATCCACCACTAGGGGTACTCGGAGGTCGCCAAAATAAAATAAATACCTTCTTACTTGCTTCCTTCAGCATTTCAGGGACACAAAGAATGCCGCAGTAAATTCACACAATGAAATCTTAAGAGGTCCCCAGGGAGATGGCGCGAGCAGAAAACTTTCTGCCTGCCACGAACTTTCTGCGCAAACAGAGACACACGGAGAGGGGGGAAGAAGCTACACCTGAAATATATATAGGAACTACCTGAATCTGCACTTGAACAATACACGGGGCATGTGTGCTTAGAGAGGGAAGGAGTGGAGTGCTCGCCATATGACCGGAAGTTCGACAAAGTTCAAATGTCCATAGGGTTGCGGGGGTTCCATGTCTGTGTATGTGTGTGTGTGTGTGTGTATCTGTGGCACGGTAACTGCTGTTATTCATTCGCTTTGGCAAATAAATGAACCGTACACTAAAACAAACAAATTCAATTGAATCACTCTCCTGGGCATTACAATTGAATGTGCCCAGGCCCACCACGTCCTTGCCCCCTACCCCATACTTGTGCGTGCCGCTTGCCGCTTGCCGCTTGTCCGAGACGAAAATCTAATGAAAATGTTCAATTTGTTGCAAACAAAGAAGGGGCAAGCAACGCCTGCCAAATACAACAAAAGAAATGGCCAGAAACCAAAAAGTTTAGGCCGCAAAAATCACACACACAGGGGGACACACACATTCGATGTTGCACTTGGCTGATTGGAACATTTCTTTATCAATTTTTGGGCAAAACAAATATGTCCAGCCAGAGCTTGGATTGGGTTTTTGTTTGGATTCTATATCGAGGATTGACTGATGCCAGATCCATATTGGTTGCACAAGCTGAAGTCTTCTTGCCTCATTTGGTATTTAACCAAGTTATGGTCATTGCAACAGCCAATTAACCCTTGCTCCTCTGTGCCACAAGCTGTGGTAAAAACCGATTACTCTGCACTTTATGCACTCTTGGCACTTGGCGTCTTGTGGCTTTCTGATCGTTAAATCTTTTATGTTTTACGGCCATTTTGGCAATCGCCAGTCTTGTCGCAGTCTCTGCCGGTGGGCGGGTAGGGTTTCCCCGTTAATTGATGAATGCTATAAACAATCAACAGCACAGGAGCAGGAGCAGGAGCAGTGGAAAAAACTGACTCACAGTTTTTGGTCATATATCAAGCGAGCCACAAACAACAGACTGGCAAATGAACTGCAATTATCAAGGAGCGGCCACGGGCCACAGGCAGCGAACAAACAGCAGATGCAAACAAGTGGAAAACACTTTCCAGTTTTGCAGTTTTTTTTGGGTTTTTCAGTTTGGCAGTTCGCAATGCAAATCATCATTAAATAAATTACTCATAATTATCGCCAGAGAGTAGTCTTTTACATTGGGGAATTCGTTTCGGCCATTTGTCTAAGCTCGAGTCAAAATTTTGACTCATTTCGAGCCCGGATTGAAGCTTGCGTTTTCTGCTTTTCGCGTTTCGCGTTTCGCTTTTCCTTTTCTGCATTTTCCACCTCCTTCATCCTCCTCTGGCAGTCCTCATGCCAAAGTGGGCGGCC